GAGACCAGCCCAGGCAACTTGGTGAGACCTCGTCTCTACAATAAAATAAAAAATAGCCGGCCGTGGTAGCGCATGTCTGTAGTTCCGGGCTACTCAGAAGGCTGAGGTGGAAGGATTGCTGGAGCCCAGAAGGTTGATGCTGGGGTGGCCGTGAGCGTGCATGCCACTGCGCTCCAGCCTGGGTGAAGGAGTGAGACTCCAACTCAAAAACAACAAACAAACAACCTCGAACCTAGTAGCCTCCTAATCCCTCTGGGACCTCCCCCTCCCACCCCACCCCTAGGGAACCAGTCATCTACCTTCAGTCTCTATGGTTTTGCCTATTCTGGACTTTTCATATAAATGGAATCTCATAGTATGTCTGTTAGCATCATGTTTTCAAGGTTCATTGGTGTTGGAGCACGTGTCAGCATTTCACTCCTTTTCGTGGCCAAATAACATCCTATAGGATGGATATATCACATTTTGTTAATCCATTAATCAGTTGATAGGTATTTGGGTTGTGTCCACCTTTTGGCTATTATAAATAATGCTGCTGTGAACATTGGCGTACAGGATTTTGTACGGACATATATTTCCAATTCTCTTCTGTACATATGTATATCTACAGTGGAGTTGCCGGGTCCCATTGTGACCCTATGTTTACCCTTTGCAGAAACTGCTAGATTTTTTTCCAGAGTGGTTGCACCATTTTACGTTCCCCACCAGCAACACATAGGGGTTCTGATTTTCACGGGAGGGTTTTAAGGAGGGCAGTGACATGATCTGATGTTTAAAAGATTCCCCTGGCCAGGCTCAGTGGCTCAGCCTGTATTCCCAGCACTTTGGGAGGCCGAGGCAAGTGGATTGCCTGAGCCTGTGAATTCAAGACCAGCCCAGGTACCTTGATGAGACCTCGTCTCTATAATAAATCAAAAATTAGCTGGGCATGGTAGCATGCGCCTGTAGTTCCAGCTACTTGGAAGGCTGAGGCGGAAGGATCGCCGGAGCCCAGCAGGTGGAGGCTATGGTGGCTGTGAGCATGCAACTGCACTCCAGCCTGGGCGACAGAGTGAGACTCCAACTCAAAAAAAAAAAAAAAAAAGATCCTGCTGATGTCTGTAGGGAGCGTGGAATGAAAGGAGGCAGGAAGCAATCTTGAGGGTGGCTCAGACAGGGACGGCAGCAGGAGTGGTAAAAAGGCAATTTGGGGATATATTGGGAGGTGGCTGGAACTGCCAGAAAAGGGATGTTTTCCTGGCTTTGGGACTTTCTTAGGCTCCCACTTGCCAGGCTAGAAGAGCAGGCCAAGCCCGGTGTAGTGGCTCATGCCTGTAATCCCAGCATTTTGGGAGGCGGAGACAAGAGGATTGCCTGAGTCCAGGGGTTCAAGACTAGCCTGGGCAGTTTGGCGAGGCTTTGTCTCTACAATAAATCAAAAAAATTAGCTGGGCGTGGGACGTGCGCCTGTGGTTCCAGCTACTTGGAAGTCTGAGACCGAAGGATCGCCCGAGCCCAGTCCAGCCTGGGCGACAGAGTGAGACTCCGAAACACACACACACACACACACACACACACACACACACACACACACACACACAGGAGCAGGCCACCCTTCCCTAGCAGAGGCCCCTGTCTCCCGCCTAGGAGCTGAGAATCCTGGTGGACTACGACGAGAAAGGCTACCTCCTGCAAATCTTCACCAAGCCCATGCAGGACCGGCCCACGCTCTTCCTAGAAATCATCCAGCGCCACAACCACCAGGTACGGTCTGTCACCCGCAGGCCCGAGGAGGCAGGCAGGTAGCACGGTGGGCTTCCTGGGTCCCCAGCTCACCTCGTCTCTCCCCTGGTCCAGGGTTTTGGAGCTGGCAACTTTAACGCACTGTTCAAGGCTTTCGAGGAGGAGCAGGATCTGCGGGGCAACCTCATCGACGTGAACACCAACGGCGTGGTGCCGGGCATGTAGGCCCCGCCCATCCCGCCCGCCCCACCGAGGCCCCGCCCACACGCCGGCGGAAGGCCACGCCTCCCGTTTCTGGAGCACGCCCACCTCCCGGGCCCTGAACCTCGTCAGACCCTTCCCCGCGGGCCTCGCCCTTAGACTCCGCCTACAGCCGGCTCCGGGACCCAAGGCCCCGCCCACCTCCCGGCCACGCCCCTTGGCCGGGCGGCTCTCTGCTCGCGCCCTCCTGAGTAAAGCGGCCCCGGGTCGCAGGAGGTGTCGGTGTGTGCCGGCGGTGGAGCAGTGGCGCCTCTTCGCCGCCAGGGGGAGGCCGGGAGCGAGAGCACGGAACGCGAGGAGGCGCTGGTGCAAACAAGCGCTGTGCTAGGTGGGACCGCTCCGGGGGTGGGGGGGAGTTCTGGAACCAGCGGAGGCAGGGGGCTTGCACTCTAGAGGGAAGGACAGATGGCGCCGTTTCGTAGAGTGGAAAATATTATTCGGACAATAAAGCAGGCGATGACAGTGTCGAGGGGAACGTCGCCGAGTGTCTAACTTCGGTCCGGGGGGCCCCTCTGCGAAGGTGACTTTTTGGGGAGCCATTTATGGGAAAATCCGAGCAAAGAGTGTCTCAGGAAGAGGGGACAGCAAGGGTAAAGGCCTGAGTGGGGCACGGAACTTGGCGGCGTCTTGTCCAAGGCTTTATGCTCTCCAAGGATGAGCTGTCTCCAGTTTTGCCTCCCCGAGCCCAAACTTCCGGACCAAGGAGGGGAGAGAGTGTTAGTCCAGGGACTTCTGCTCAGCTGTCCCCGGATCGTGGCTCCTTGGCTTCTCACCTGAGAGATAAACCAGGCAGGAGGGATCGGAGCCTCTCAGCATCTGGCCTCCACCCTCAGCAGGGCAGTGCCAGTGTCAACCCAGGGCAGCGCCCCCGCCCCCAGCCTCGCTTCCAGTGGGGACTCCTTCTGGAAAGGGGCTCATTCATACTCAAGTGTGAATGATCCTTGCAACAGGATGAGGCCACCGGGCGCAGCGGCTCACGCCTGTATTCCCAGGAGTTCGAGATCAACCTGGGCAACCCGGTGAGACTTCATCTCTACAACAACACCAAAAAATTAGCTGGGCCTGGTGGCACACGCCCGTAGTCCCAGCTACTTGGAAGACTTGAGGCGGAAGGATCGCCTGATCCCAGCAGGTGGAGGCCGCGGTGGCCGTGGGCGTGCCACTGTACTCCAGCCTGGGCGACAGAGTGAGACTCCAACTCAAAAAAAAAAAAATAGAGTCCATTGGGGGAGAGCTGCTGGGCCTAAAACCTAAAATCCTTGGAAGGAAATTCTTTCTACAAAACCAGGGAGGAGCCAGGCCAGTGGCTCAGCCTGTAATCCCGCGCCTTTGGGAGGCCGAGGTGAGTGGATTGCCTGAGCCCGCGGGTTCGAGACCCGCCTGGGCAGCGAGACCTCATCTCTACAATAAATAAATAAAAAAAAAAATCAGCTGGGCGTGGTAGCACATGCCTGTAATTCCGGCTACTTGGAAGGCTGAGGTGGAAGGATCGCCGGAGCCCAGTAGGTCGAGGCTGCGGTGGCCGGGAGTGGCCACTGCACTCCAGTCTGGGTGACAGAGTGAGACTCCAACAAAAAAAAAACCCAGGGAAGAGGAGGTGGAGGGCGAATGGGGTCTCCTTTCTGTTTCTAATGCTTGACACTCCTCCCTGAGGATATAAGCCAACTCAGTAATAGATCTTAGCAGTCAGACCTCAGTGAAAGGGAAACAAATCTGGACCAGGTACAGTGGCTCATTCCTGTGATTCTAGCACTTTGGAGACAGGAGGATCCTCTTGAAGCCAGGAGTTCAAGACCAGCCTGGGCAACATAGTGAGACCCTGTTTCTACAAAAAAAAAAAATGTGTTTAATTAGCCAGGTGTGGTGACATGCGCCTGTATTTTCAACTTCTCCAGAGCCTGAGGCAGGGGGATTGCTTGAGCCCAGGAGTTCAAGGCTGCAGTGAGCTATGACTGGGTCACTGCACTCTAGCCTGGCCACAGAATGAGACCCTGACTATTGGAAGGAAAAAAAAAAAAAAGCCGGCCTCGGTGGCTCAGCCTGTAATCCCACGCCTTTGGGAGGCTGAGGAGAGTGGATTGCCTGAGCCCGAAGGTTCGAGACCCACCTGGGCAGGCGAGACCTCATCTCTACAATAAATCAAAAAATTAAGCCGGGCTCGGTGGCTCAGCTTGTAATCCCGTGCCTTTGGGAGGCTGAGGTGAGTGGATTGCCTGAGCCTGTGGATTTGAGACCCACCTGCGCAGCGAGACCTCATCTCTACAATAAATCAAAAAATCAGCCGGGCGTGGTAGCGCATGCCTGTAATTCCAGCTACTCGGAAGGCAG